TGTAGTCATCCTACTTTACATATTTCAAGAGATCTTCCGAAATGTTGAAAAAGGAGAAACAAGAATATCTTTCCGCGAAGACTTTACAATCACGATTAAATGAATAATCGATTCTTTATAAAGCCTTTGCCCGTTGACGAGCATAGTTCTTAAATAGATAGTCGCCCGCTTGAAATTTTTACATATATGTATGTATGTATATCGATATATATATATATATATATATGTATGTATATCGATATATATATTTTATTAAAAACTACTTAAAATACAATAGTGTATAGTACTAGATTAGGTTTGAAATTACATTTTGTTGTTAATTTGATTTTTCTCATTAATATTACGTACAACACGAACTATTATAATTATATTTGCAAAATCAATTTGTCTATATTTATAATATGCGGATGTGTTGGGTCTATATAGCAACCGACATTTTCTAAAAAATTTACCTTCGTTTTTTTGATATTATTATTCATGAAAGGTACTTTAGAGACACAGGGGCATATACATCACCACCTTAAATTAATATTTTTGTTTTTATTTTTTGAATGGAGAGGGAGATGCAAGGAGAGGAAGGTGGTTTGGTTGTTTTTCTTGAATTTTTGTTTATATTTAAGTTTTCCTTCTACCTTGCTTGTTATAGTTGTTACTTTTAACTATACTTATACAAATGTTTGAATATAAACTTTTTTTTTGTCTGTTTATTTTTCTTCTTTAAGAGAATAAAACAGAATGTGTAGACTTGGAACTGTTAGCTGAACTATCTTCGATTTCCTGAACTCACACCTATACAAATTGTATTTCTCTACGGTTTTAATGTTAAAAATAAAAAAAAATTAAAGTAAAATCGTTTTCTCTTTATTCGTAAATTGTAATTTGTATTTATTTATAATTCTATAACACCTCTTATTCTCTCGTTTTCATTTATTCAATACTAGTTCAGTTTATTTCTAAATTACATCTTACGTCATCTTTTCAATGTATAACCATATAACTATTTTTTTGCATATATTAAAAATTAAGCATTAATAATTATAAAAACGGTTTAATAAAAAGAAAGAAGAGAAGACAAAACCCCTACTGAAGGCCACATGGAGCGTTGAAATATGCAAGAGAGGTGAAGGGATTAAATCACTCCATAAATTCAACGGTTTGAAATACACATATAATTATTCATTCATTTTCTCTGTATAAGCAATCAAATGAATTTTATTTATTAACAACTTTTGCTAGCCAGGACTTCCACATACGTATGCTTAGTTAGGTTAATATTTTTACTTCAACTAAATTTATTATATAAATATATATATACATATATATTTATCTAAATATGTACATATATTATTTTATATATATGTATATTTTATTCTGTTGTATCTAGGTATGTATACGTGTTTATATATATTTTTTTTTGTATATCGGTATATATAATATCTATGCACAATAAGTGTATCTCTTCTCATTCTTATATACATGTATACTTTGATTATAAACACATTTAAAACGCGATATTTTACAAGTTAATGATTCGATTTTTTCTACTTTTTGCCAATTTTATGTACAGACACCCATATGTAGTCATACGCAAACACACATACATTCACATACAGATGAGCACATTCACTCCTGTAAGCCTTCCCTAAACTAGATAGATTTGATATATGTAACACATACGTACATTATTATATATATGCCCATATATATATGCATACATATATATAAGAATAAACATTACATCATTTTTATTATAATTATATAAAAACATAAATAATTAGGAATTTCAGTATCCGTAATATGCTTACACGACTACGCCTGGTCTATTCGACTTTCCGAAAATTCGAAAAAACCAAAATCCACCTAAAAATACAATCCATAAGTACATAGCGTAGAAATATTATTTATTGAAAGCTCGGTACAAATGTTTTAAATCAATATAAAAGTTGAAATTTAAGATCAGAAAATTCACCGATGATTGATCATTCATAAAACGAATGAGCGCTTATAGTTATATCTACTTATGGTTATTAGATTTTCGTTTTTTACACGAAATTTTTGCACCGTTTTATCTTAATACGTTGTAAAGATATAACTCGATTTCTAGTTTCGGCGACGTCCTTTAACGTAGCAGGGCTTAAAAAGTGTTAAATTTCTCTTAACACCCTGTAATTTCGTAATATATATTACAAAGCATAAAGAACATGCTTTTTTGGAGGCATAATCCCCGTACGAAAATCAATATAGCGTAAACCGTTGTCAACAGAAGATATTAATCTGATACAAATATTTCCCGAAGTCAGGCGAATAGCCAATGTAAGAATGATTCCGACCGATCAATCTAGACGCCAACAATTAGCAAAATGCTTCATAACCTTTATTTACTGGGTATGATCAATTCATTCCAAGATGTATATGATTTTTTCTTTAGATAGACCCTTAGACTCAATACATTTAATTATCTTGAATTATCAATTTCTCTAATATTTATAACTAATTTAGAAATGTGAGTCAATTCGAGTCACCTTTATTATTGCGCCACTATTTTTATGTTTGAATTTCAGTAGGATATTCTCTGTATGAAGGCGTGCAATTATCTAACCAATAAACAAATTCTATAATTAAAACGCAGAACGGGTCTTTGGACATTTTCTATATTATCTCATTTTTATGTAAACAAAGAAAATAAATAAAAAAGTACAAAATGCTCGGTATTTTTAGAATATTTTGAAGAGTTACTCATCTAAAAATATCATTACACGCCTGATTTTACTAAAAAAATATTATTTTGTTTTTTGATAAAGGTGGTGGTTTAGAAACTATTTTCTTGAAACGAAAAATAGATAATATTTACAGGAATTATAGCTCAGCATTCACATATTTTTCACAACTCTTAGATAACGTTAGATAATCGTAAAATTTCGGTTCCTATTTTTATATGTTATAAAAAGCATACGATTTCGTATACGTACTGATGTTTTTTTTTTCTTTTTGTTTTGTTTTGTTATCATACTATTATCTGAAGCTTTTGCCTATATTTCGTCGTTTAGATCAACTAAACATCTTTCCAAACTTGATATAAGATGTACAAATGAACGCTCGGCATCCTCTGGCAAAATGTAAATTTCGTGATGAAAGTACAAGTGGTCTTTTAAGGCTGACTTTGTAAACACCCACTTTTTGAGTCTTCTAAAAAGAATGCGAACACTGCTCAGAAAGACAATAAATCATTGTTTGAAACACCTAATAATTAATGAGAAAAATCTCCGGGGAATACAGAGAGAGTGACAATACTGCTAACGTTTCCTAAATGAATTTTAAAACATGAGCTGAGCGTTACAATACTATAACGACTTTTTGCATATATCAACCGTTTTCTTTTAATGATCAGTACAAATTTTGTCTCTAGCGATCTTCAGCATTATAGCGCTCCCAAAAGGAGTTGTCAACGGTATTAGGCTTTGCAATTGACTTTAATAATTTTCTTATTCTATACTATTTTGAAATAACGCTTCACAAACAGCTCGACTTATCCCAAGCACACAAAAACTATAGCATATCAGCTCTACAGCTGCGTAGAGATTAAGTATTTTACTTTGGCAGTCGGGTTTTAACAAAAGTTTAAGTAGGAAGGAAGGAGGAACGCCAGTGTTGCTCTTTGTTTGGTGCATTTGCAAGGAAACAATTTTTTATAAGCTACTACTACATCGACAAACAATAACTATCTAGGACTATGAAGAATTCTCTTAATATAGTGTGAAAATTTAAGTAAAGACAACATCACCTTCACTATGGCAACCCCTAGTCACTACACACTATTTACCGATCAATAAACGTTACAAAAACTTGACTAAGCAAATGTGGGAAATATCCGACACTCGCCGTGTTTTCGTGATATACGTACTGTTTTAATTTGTAAAATAATTTGAAGGCAAAGCAATTTAAATATCAATTTTGTTTACAAAAAGATTTCCAAGTTGCAAAATTTTAAAGCTTGTAAGTTTTCTGTGAAGTATTTACCACTTGCATTTTCGTAACCCTCCTGGGTGTACTAAACTTTTACGAATAATGGCGACTGGTTCTCAGATTCAGAATCATTTTCCGAATCGACTTAAGTTGGTCTTTTCTCCTGCGCATTTGTCTGTATTCAACCTGTAACGCTATTAACTATTTTATACGGTTGGCGCCAAAGATATGAATGGTTAGATTTTTGCATACTCTCCGCATATTATGGCGTACTTTGAAAAATTCGTTACGATGTGGGGCAGGTTATTAAAGTTCAGTCTTACACGTGATATAACCTTTTAACTTATTTGATTTTAATTTTGTTTCATAGTCGAGTACAAACTTCTACAATCGCCTAATATTCAATCAAATGTAAAAGTAAATATGGCAAAATGAAATAAACTAAGATTTTTCTCCTGCTGTAAAAACGGTGCTTCAGTTTACACTGATGACGATGCATGTAAGGCTAATTCATGTGAGTTTTTTGTCGCTATTTAATATTTGAATATTAACATAGAATAACCTTTTTTATTAAGTTTGTTTTTGCTTACGCTGTATAACGAATTTCGTAGGATAGGATATTCAGTATAGAATAATGTGCAAACTTTTATAAGAAAAAAAGCTTGTTGTTGTTTTATTTACTACCTTTCACTCTTTGCTAAAAAAGGAACATATTTCGGGTAAAGTAACCAATTTATATTTAATTAAATAAAACGTAATACTTAATTTTAGTATATGGGCTCAACAAGCCCTCTTGATTTGCAATTTGAGAAACGTATTAATCCCTGAATTGAAAAAAGGTTAAAGCCTATTCCACAAACTGATTTAATTTTTGCTTGATATATTAGCTAAACAAGTATCCAAAATAATAATAAAAAAAAAGTCAATTATATATACGTATGTGTATACACATATGTATGGTTTTACTTATAGATTTCATATGCTTATATATAATATATAAAAATAAAAAAGCTTTTTAAATAATTCCAAAATTCGTTTCAATTCAGTGCAATGCTTCTAATACAAATAATTGTCGAGTTAAAATACATAGATCATTAGCTGTTTGTTGTTTTATAAATAATTACATTTTTATAATTTTTTTGTTTAATTTTTCTCTTGTCTGAAAGCAGGAGACTAGTGAAGAGAAGCAAAAATTAGAAATATTTTTTAGTCGATTCCTAGCCAGTAATCGTAATTGAGCTAGTAAATGAATAGATAGATGGCTGTCGTCACAAGTCTCTGTCGCTGGTACGCTTTCCTATGAATGTGTGTTTGAGTTTTTGGTTTTCAAATTGTAGTTTCTAATAAGTTATTCTTCGGGTATACGACGATATCCGGGTGGTGGTGACGGTGATTGTAGATTTGTAGCTGAACTTATACTTCCGAAGGACGATTGCGACGCAGATGGGCACATTGGAGAAAAATTGGTAACAGCTTCGAGGATTCTTTCGTCTGGATGATAGCCGGCTGTATGTGAGTTAGCGGGTGAGCAGCTTGATCGTATTCTTGCTGTTGTAATTGATGATGATGATCTTCCGCGGGGACCCTGCATCACGCCTTCAAATTATTATTACCCAAAAGAATAACATCATCAAATCATAAAAATAATCGTAGAAATAGAAGAGCAAAAAAATATTTAGATTAATAATTACAAGAAAATTATTTAAAAAATTTTAGGGTCAGCATCCTTTTTTTTCTAATGGTATTAATTGGTATTAATGTAAGTTAGTTGCGCTTGTTTGCTGCATGTTTAGTGTTTCTTTATGCTCACAATACTCACGGAAGCATTTTAATGCCATATTATAAATAGTAATGATTTGTTATTCTCTGCTCAGCAGTGTAATCAGAAAACAAAATTTTTCATCAAGGATAACATATGCTTTTTTTTGGTGTAACATTGTTCGAAAGATTACATGTATATACGTGTATGAAAATATCATTAACAACAAAGAACACAATAAATATAAAAATTGCATGCCAGCATCTAAAATGAACATAAAACGAATTAAATACAAATAATATACGAAAAAACGAGCAATTCAACTCTCTGTCCCCTTACTATTAACATGAACTCGTTGAACACATATACATGAAAATATTTTCTACTTAAAACGAGAAGCAAAAAAAACGTAAGATTAAATTAATGGCGAGAAAACCAACTTTAAGAATTATAGAAACGATTCCAACGAAGCACAACCATCCAAGTTGATATCGTTGAAATCGCGGCACTGTACGACTAAAACTTACGATGTAACGCAAAGACATCGAGTTTTCATCATTCAAGTGTTACTTGCTACCTGAGGAGGTTAGCGTCGTGGTTTGTACGACAGGTCTATAACAACTTCAGTGATTTCAAATCTTTCTTAAAAATTAATGTCAAATTATTTTCTGATTATTTTATAAAAGGTAATAACAATTTGCACCTGAACTGCCAGTTGAAAACAATTCATACGTTATAAGCTCATTATTATATAAGGACATATAAGGACATAATTTCGAAAAAGGCTTTGGAAACGGATGATGACATTTTGAGAGACAGTAAGGTTGCTTTGACAACAAAACCGTATAAAACATAGCAAATGCTGTATAATCAACGATTCCGAAGATAAAGAAAAATAGCGTGTGGATGATTTATCGACATTCTAAACGGTAGTCAGTAAAAGAATGATTATTTTCTCGTTCATGAGGACATTCCCAGTATCCAGTCTTCACATTATTATTGTCGAAACAAATAAAACCATAACAGTGGAATAAGACCCACCACTAAATAGTTTGCGCTACTTCGCTTAATGCAATTATTCACATAACGATTTTTCAAAATCTTCGTCTTATATTAAAATTGTCGAAAAAATGATCCGGTTCGAATAATTTTCCATAGCGTTCGTGCCTGGGCCAAAACATGTAGATGTACCAAATTTCATCAAAATATCTCGAAAATTGCGACCTGCAGATTGTACACCAGAAAACAAGACGGACATGGGACAGACAAGCGTAGATCGGTTCAGAAAGTTAATTTGAAACGATTTCCCAAAATAAAGCGTCATAAGAGAAGTGATCGAAAAAAGGATTCGATCCGAACGAGTTTCAGGATTTGCAGGTTGAACACAAAAATGCATCTACATATCGCAGAGGGGCTCACAAACTAACAAGCTTAAATCGATTCAAAAAGTTATTCTTTATCTACCGATATAATAAAACATGAATCGGTCTCCAGTCCTTGCGGGTATTGCAAGCACCCGCACAAACTTAATATACACTTGTACTTTATAAAGGTGCGTAACGTATAAAGAAGAGGTTACAGTTGAAGAAGAGCACCTATTAAACACTGCGCGCTAGGTCGCGTTGCATAACTGTTCTTTCGTCATAAAATACAATATACACAACGTCAAAATTGTGGGCCAATTTTCATCACAATTTGTTAAAAATTATACGAGTAATAGTCGAAGAAATGAAAGATATAGTAGAAGCAAATAGCAAATTTTCTGCGTTTAAATTGCATTGGCGTTTTAGCTAAAATTATTAAACGGTACTAAACAAAAAGGAAGGAGAATTTTCAAAATTTGTTGCATACGGATTGGTTGTTTCTAGGTGCTTTTGTAGCCAGTTTTGGTACATCACTTGCGTTTGACCAGTGAATGAATGGAAACTTTTTATTCTAAACGATCGCCAATCAGAGAAACCTCCGCTATTTTCTTTTTTTTATATGAACAATCACTCAGGGGACACCCGCTATTCGCCTAACGCGATGATGGTCAGAAACCAGTGAGGAAAGAGAAGGAGAAGTGGTGATCGTAACCTAGTAAGTGCGTACGTATGCCTTTACTGACTAAGTATTCACTATAGCTACGATCGAAGCAAATTCTACCGCATTGGGACTTGAACTCGTGAACACTGACTTGGTAGTCGCGATTCTTACTTAATTGGTGGTGATCAGAAAGAGTTACGCATATAGAAAATGTATAAGAAGAAGTAATGTTCCACGTTACGCGGGAAAGACCTCAACAGGTGATTAAAGAACGCAATGACCCAATGATCTCATGCGGCGCCGCCAATCTAAAATGTATGGGTCTTTAGTAGATCGGATAGTTCTTTGAAAAAGACTCAATTATGGACGCATTTCTTGTATCGTCTTTTATCATGTGTCATCCAATAAGCATCGTACAATCAATCGTTGACGATTGCGTGCATATTCTTTATCACATCTAGCTTTTTCACAAAGTTAACAAAGAATCCTTGTGGACATTGGATAAGCGATACGAACGAGAGTTTTCAAAAGAGCCGAGGAGAAAATAATATAAGATCTAAGAGGTTACAAAAACTACACATTAGGTCGTTCGCACTTATTGATGGAAATGTTAACAGAAGAACCAACATTAGAGACATCTTTAAAGAAAATAAATTTCACATGAATCTTAACAAGCAATTTTTAGTTAAGTTTTGAATATATAACGAATAAGGCCAGGTTGCAACCTCATTATAAATACCAAATGATTAAAACTTAAAGTAGCTTTCCAGTGTACTCTTGTTGAAGTGAATAAATTTTGAAGTTTATCTGATTATTTTAGTTTATTTCAGTTTAACTGCGACTGTCGGAATCAGTAGTATTTACAAGATTTGTAATACAGAGGTCACTGCGTTTCTGATGTTTTTCCCAGCGAGGCTAAGACCACAAAAACAAAAACAAGTTCATATCCTGGTGGTAGCCTTTCCCAATAGCATCTCTTCTCGATCTAGTGAAAAAATGCAGAAGGTTGATGATAAAATCAGGATCAGTGGAGTTCGCGACTGACAAACGTTAATGAGGCTTTTGACATAACAGGTATACCAAAAATTTTGCAATAAAGGATACGCTCCGTTCGAAATAGGCCTTCTTCTGCGCAAACGAAATAACAGACTTACTGAAGAAGAATATGACCTTCTAATTAGGGTCCGAAAATGTAATTTCTTGAAATACATTGGTTTTAATTACAGCAGGATGATTACGTTGGTCTTGCTTTCCATTTGTAATGTTCAGTATGCTTTAAACAATATTGCAACAGAAAATCGCTTACATTAATAAAGAAGAGTTTTATCGTGAGAAATTATAATTGCCAGGACTGGTGCTACTATTTTATAGAACTTCTTCTACGTGAAACTTGAAAACTGTTAATAAATAAGCACGCTTACCTTCTTTTTAATATTTTGAATCAAAGCCAAACCTTGTTATAAAGGACAATTTCTGAAAATAGCATTGCGCCCCTTGGAAGTCTCTTAGTTAGATTTAATCTTTTTTCAAAGAAATAACTTGCGTTACAAAATAATCAAAGGCATTTATTGTCTGCGTCATTTTGTGTACAGAAATCTTTGATAGTAATGCTTATGCCGTATAAGTTTTACTCGTTTACACACTTTACTAAGTAGCTGTTTTAAAGAATATCCTGCAGCTAACAAGCCGTGGCGTTGATATTTATCAAAAAATTCTGAGAACTTACAGCGAATTGCCTAACATGTATTATTTTATCGCACAAAACACGAAAAAGATAAGTGAAAAATAAATTAAGAAAATTTTAAAACTAAAAAAAAAAAAAAAACAAAACTGTTTCTAAATAGGAAAATTAATTAAATTTACAAAAAAAAAAAAAAACATTCAATACTTTATGAAAACCTATATATATAGATAAACCGATGTTGGAATAGATGTTATTTGTACTTTGACTAGTTTTGCTGCATTACTATATCTTCCATAGGTGGAATGAGTGTTATGTGAAAATGATGGTTAATGTATGTTATATATGTGCTTTTGATTTATTTGAAGTTGGTTTTGGCGATGTTTGTAAAATTATAGTGAATGTTTATTATTGGAGAGAGAGATAGATAGAGAGAGAGAGAGAGAGAGAAAGAGATAAAAATAGAATTAACATCAATAAATAGCAAACCAATATTCAATTAAGGCAGGCATTGCATTTTATGTAGTAGGCACTCATTTGATTCCAAAAATAGGATGGATGTCTGTTTAGCGTACGTTCGTTTGTTTTATTTGTAACTGTTGTTGTTGTTACTGTTGGTTGATTGATTGATTGATTGATTAGTTAATTGCTTTTAACACTTAATAATGCTTATAATTAAGATGTTTGCTTTTTCACACTTGCAGCTACTCTTTTCTTTATTTGATTCTTTCTTTCTTTTACTTTTTTTTTTTTTTTTCTTTTTTTAGAGAGCGATAGAGACAGAGAGTGAGAGAAGCAGTTTTGCTTACGCATTGCGTTAAAATCTTACAGTCGATAATGAGGTTTCTTGCACTTTAAAAGCTTCACGTCGAAAATTTTCCAATTTAACTTTATTCATTGGTGCACCTGAAATATGGAAAAAAAGACAAGAAGAGGAAAGAAAAACAAACAAAACAAATAGTTGGTTTCGAATTTGTTTTAAGTAAAGATTCGCTTCAAAAAAGTGATGAGTGTCTGTTGAATAAAACTTGAAAAATTGAAATATCCTTTCTCTGGCAATTATTTGTTATAATGACGTTTTCGATTCAAGTTTCTTTTCACCTAAATTCATGACTTTTTCTTCAGTTTAAACCTAAGAGATGTCGGTCGGAAATCAAATAAATTTCTTCTGTACTAATCGTTAGACGTTTGGAAAAAGTATACATTCATACAATTGATAAAGAAACAATATAATCTACTAAAATCCCATATATTGTGAAGCATTTTTTTTATTTCAACTATTTATATTCTAACTATTTCTCGTAGCTATTTGTTATAAACACTAAAATGAATTTACTACGGCAGCAGGTGCTTCCCTAAAACACTGCTAGGTGTAACGGTAACGGTTAACATCGCGGAATTCTTTCAATTTTACAGATATACATTGATGCAAATGGAAAAATTATATTGAATTGTTGTACTGCTTAGCTTCGAGCCGCAATTAATTTTATAGAATTTTCCTGAAAAATAGTGCTAGTCGTCTACTCGTCAGCTAATAAAAATCTAATTTTCAAGATTTTTATGAGCTGCTTTGTTATCAGCAGCCCTGATCAAGTTAGTTGATTTGGATTTTTGCTTTGCAAAGACAAGTAATTGCGTTCGCCTTAATGCTCACTGCGATTTTAAATAATGCATTGGAATTGTAAAATACTTTATAATATTATTTATAATATTTGCACTCAATTTTAGATTAATAATATCTCCTATTGACTGAAATTTAAAGTTTCTTCTTTTCCCCTCACCTAAGGACGGGGGGTATATTCACTTTGTCAAAACGATTGCAACGCCCAGCAGTAAACTTTAGGAACTTTATATTCTGGATCAACATTAAATTCTAAATTGACTTAAGCAGGTGCGGCGGTGCATCTCTCCGTCAGTGCAAAGTCTGTTGTAAACATTCTCCTGGCCGCAAAAATGAAGTTGGCTACTTTTGGCAGAAACATGGGAAGTTCTTGCGCGCAAGTTGGTATTGGAAAATGGAGCAAATCGGTCAAAAGACGGCCACGCCCATAGCACCACGAAAACGGAGAACACTTCTGTTTTTAAAAAGAAATCAAAAATTGTTTTTTTCTAAGCACTCTTCATCTATAGTAAATATTTGTACGAAGAATTTGAACGTATATTCTGCGGGCGATTCTGTAGTGGCTGCACAAAAATGCAAAAATTGACCACGCCTACCCAATATTATAGTGTATCCAAATTCAATTTCTTTTCATTGCGCATTTATAAGGTGTAGGCACAAGCTCTAACAACCCCATAAAGTATATAAATTCTTGACTAGTTTAAGATTTGGAATACAGGTAAACATGTCCTCCTGGTCCTCTGTCCGTCTATCTGTCTGTCCAACTGTGTAGTATTTGTGGTAAACGTTCTCCCGTTAGCGAAAATATCGCTTACAAATTTGCAAAAGAATTTGGAAGCGGCTTAAGCTTTTTCAACAACTACGCATGCAACGCCCACCTGCTTGTGCGACAAAAACTTTTATTTTGAAAATGGGAAAAATCAACTGCGCCTGCGTTCTTTTACTTTTTTTGTCTTCTTTAAGATAACGGCGATGGGTATAAAAGATTCGGTCACGATCGAATATAATTTTCTTACTTGTTTCTATTGTGAGCGTAGCCGCAGTAAATTAAGTCTATTCTGGGTGATGATATTTTGAAATCCACTTACAAATATTACGTTAATGCCAATGTTAATCAGTAATTCGAGAAACAATTTAATTGAAGTACTCTTTCATTGTACAAAAAGTGAATCAAGAACGGAAAATGATCACTGTTTAACGTAAAACTGTTTAACTTAACTGTTTAAATTAAAAGTTTAAAAGTTTTGGTGGCGTCAACCAACTTTTTGAGAGTAGTTAAAAAGTTCGAGTTTTTATCCGCATCATTAACCGTCACACTAATGTACACTAAATTTATTTCCATATGTAACTACAATTAAAATACTTAGCTGAGGGAAGATAACATCAATATAAATTCTTCCACAGTTTTGTGGTGTCATATTTATCACTGTTCATGGAAAACTTATTGATTGATTAATAATTTAATGTAAAGTGAAATGATTCTTTTTTTTACATGATATTTTGTACACTTTCAGAGCGACATGAATGACAATAGATTTTACAAATGTTTGCGGTAAAAACAAACAAAGGGACGAAGCACATTTAAACTTTACATAAAAAAGCGAATTGACGGAGCTTTACATTGGACACATATTGCTTTTAGTAAAAAAAAAAAATTCCGGAGTCGCGTCGGTATAAACAGAAATTATAAAAACATTGAAACATCATAAGAGATAATGAAGAAGATCTAGTAAATGGTAAAATGATATGAAATAAAAGAAAATCACTTACCGATATAGCTGAGAAGTACAGGCAGGAATACAAGGCCATGAGCGGCGCCAATCAATACAATACCCAGGTACATACGGAAATAAAACACCTGGAAGATCTGACTTTTGGCGAATGCCAGCACCAAAATACCACCAAACTTTGTTAATGTTATTCCCGAAAATATCGAGCTACCCATTTTGGTAAGACAATCGGCGGCGCGTTTCTCGCGTGTACTCTCCGTAGATATTGAAAAACTGTGTACCAAATGCGAACAAAATTCCACAGATATGCCAACGGCCATTACTAAGTTCACCAATGATACAGCATTCAATGAAATGTTCCAATAGTACATGTTGCCTCCCAAGTTTATAACAATCATTGTTATTGTTATCACCACCACCAGCGAGGAGTGTATGTCGAAGCCCATCAGCAGGAAAGTAACTATGAAAATGGCCAACACCGATATACCCATACTTTGCAAGGTGTCGGGCCACATGGTTAAATATTGCTCGTAGAATACATAGAACACCGAATAGGGAAACACTTCGACTTTGAGGGCTTGTTCAAAGGGTACACCCTGGGACATGAGTCGGCCCTGTATCATGTGAGTTATGTTGGCTGATAATTTACGTGCTGAACGCAAAGCTAAATAATAGTCGGCTGATGTCTTCAAAATGGAATGATAAGCCATAAAATAGGAAGCATCTACTATTGAGTCGTTATCTGGCCTCTGATGATATCGTACAGCTTTGCCATAGGCAGCGTGGCCGGCTTTGGCGCAGCTATCATCGGGGTTGTCTTGTAGGAAAAATGGTAAATATTTACCGAAATCCTCTTTGTCTGGTCTTTGCAATTTGTTGCGTTTTATCACACAAGTGTTACAAGTTGTGTCTGGGGATAAAATAAACGAATGAGAGCATTCTCCTAAAATCAAAAATTTATCTAAATTCCCAGTTTACCTGTGTGTGGGCAAAAACCGCCATTTTCTGGACGATATTTGCAACAGCTTGTCGCTTGGCTCCAATCAAAGAAATCGTCTATCCAACTCGAAGCTGGTCGTGCTATGTAGGTCTTATTGGAACGTCTACTTGCCAAATAAATTTGAGTAATCAAACTATCATCATTACAAAATTGCCCCGAACAAACCATATTTTGATCAAAACTCTCAGAGAAGTTTAAGCCGGATTTTAGCACAAAGTATACGGGTGGTCCAATGCTGAGGTAGCGATTGAGAGATTGAAAATAATGCAAAACAAAACTGTCTTCGGGCATTGATAACTCCTGATTTAAGCCGATCTCTATACGAGGTGCAATTGCTATACTGGAGCATAGCCAACCAAAGAAGACAATCATTACAATGACGCGAACACTTTTCTTCATTAGGAACGGTACATAAACGCTTTTAAAGAACTTATAAAGTAAGCCTTCTGTAACGGGCACTACATCGGTCTTTTTCCCGCGAATAAAGCAACACACATCTAAACGATTTTCGGCTTGACGTTTTGTATCCAGTGTAAGCAAGCTCACAAAACAGGTGATTTGTAGTAAGAAGTCAAAGAATAACGCCATACCAGCATAGAGCGCGAATGCTTTCACGGCAGGCATATCGGACAGTCCGCCCAAGAAAAAACAGCAACTTTCGCTGACTGAGGTTAACAGCATTGAAGGTCCTACTCGTCCCATAATGCGACCAATGTGCTCCTCGTGAGTTTCATCAGCTCGTTGGACATCACGCTGATATGTCTGCACCAATATGAATATGTTATCTACGCCAACAGCCAACACCAGAAAAGGTATGACTTCGACAATTATCAAAGTCGCCGGTACACCAATATAGCCGAAGACGCCCACGGAAGATACAACTGAAGCCAATACAATGATAACGCCCCCCACGCCCAAAGTTATTTTACTGTCAATGAAAGCGCGACTAACCTCCTGAACATGGCCCAATGATATGGCTATATAAGCAAACATTATAAGATAAGACACCAAAATAGTCAAAACATCGGATTGCGATTCACGATTCAATTCATCCTCAATCGAACGTTCTGAGGTGAAGGCAATATCCATGTGTTTGCTCATACGAGTCCTGGTATAGTTAAGCATGAAGTCTACATAACGTTGTTCCCATTCCAAGGCAGGACCAAGTTTTTCCTTGTCATGATGATTTCGGACTAGAAATGTCAGAATTAATGCATTCGCCTTTTCATAATTTGTATCTCCCGACAATTGTTCGCGCGATTTTAAGAAACCACCCAAAGCTATGGCTGGATCTACGGGCCCACCGTAAGGAGCCAAGCATAGATATGGATTGCTTATACAAGCGTACAATTCATCAAGATATGTAATCTACAAACAAGTAAAAACAGCTGTAAGTAAAAACAAGTTTAACTTGATAAACTAATTTACTTCAAAACCGTTGTCTTCATCTTCGTCGTCAAGGCGATCAATTTCATCTTGAAAGTAGCCCCAAATCGATTGGACAACACAATTCGTAGCCTCCACCGACCCAGGTTCGTCCGTTGTCAGCGGTGCGTAACAGATATCTTTTAACATCGTGGCATTCTCGACGCCTTTGCCCAGATTTTTAATTTCTTCTTGCAAATGGTAAACATCTGTTAAAAATTGCTTATCGAACACTGGACCAAACTGTAACGGGCCGTTTGAGGTATTATGCACAATATCGGGCAAATCGACGGCTTTAACGATGATCTGTTCAATGCGGTAAAATGGTTGAAAATTTGAATCAAAAAATTCTCTTTCCACCCGCGAACGTGATTGTGGCGACGCCCACAATTTAACTGGGTCCGTAGTGACATGTAAGAATTTAATGCCATAACCTAAAGCAGCAACGAGCAGTAAACCGCCCAGCAATGTAAACCAGGGATACGTAGCAAAAAGTTTGCCCCATGACGTGAAAAAAGTCTCTAAATATTTTTCTGTCTTAGCCCCTAAATGTTCAAAATAGCCAGATTCAGATGTTGTCATTACGTCGATATTATCGTGCGGGGGTCCATCAACTTCGTTGCCATCCGCTGAAAATAAAAAACACGTGTCATCTCAGAAATCATCAATGTCAATGCATTTCAACATTATAAACAACATCAAAAGTGAGCAACAACCAATAAACACATCCATTTGCTTTGGTCAATTTACAACAAGACTAAACTCTAAATATTCAAGTAAATATGAAAAGCTAAATCTTATTAAATGATTACAGAATAAAGTGCTCAAATTTATAAAATTCTTTCTATAGACATAAATGTACGTAAGCAGAAAAGTTAAAGAGCATACATAATTTATGGTTAAAGTTCATAAACGCCTCCATAAAAGTCTTTCTATGACATAATCATAGATTGATTTGGTTAGAGCCTAAACACTGCAATGATCATTTAGTTTTCATGACGAATGACAAGAGTTTATTCCTTCTTGCATCAATATTGGTACAAATACCGTTCGGCAGTCTCATAAACGGAAGACAAGCATAAAATCTTCAGCCGATTTCAGCATCTTCGTTTTCCGTGAATATCCCGACGTATCGGTGACAATAACTAGCAGGTAATTACGTTACGATTAGCAAAAAACTGCGATTTCTGTTAATCCGTTTGAGGTGTCCGATATTCACGATATTATGATTATGAAAATGCACACTACTAACGGATAAAGTAGGGCCTTTAAGCTATTTTTAATGTTATATTTACTTTGTCACCTAAGAATGGCTTGCTTTTCATGTTTGACTTATGCTATGTTTATTATTGTGTTGTAACAAGAATGCGTCTAAAAAATTGTGTTTAATAAACTTGAAGTTTCAATTGCGGACTACCATTTTAGCTCATTACTAGCTGTGATACAAAAATCGCCGAAATAATCTATTGGGAATAGAACTTGATTTCTGGAAACTTAGGAGAGAAAGCTGCCAAGTACAGAATAAAGCGCCGACCTTTCCATGTTAATATTCTTTGTGTAAGTTGTCTCGCCCTTAGTCAAAAAACCTTCAAAGACTGAAAGAGTTGCTTTCTCGTGTACTATAGAATGGTCACGTGTAATGCAAAATAGACATCGCACAATACCAGCAGTGAAAACAACCATTAAAATTCGGGGTAATCGTATCGACTAAAAAGTCAGATATTCATGGCGCCGACACGTTGGATGATCAACTTGCCGATGCAATCAGCAAAATGCGCCGAAACATATAAAGTATGAACCATATTGCAAAAGCAGCCTAGGAGACGTTAGAAACGATGAATTTGACTGCCTTACCACCCCAGTCCTTCTTACAATCCGTTATCTCTGCTGATTAACACTTCTTATAACAGGTTGCTATGTACGGCTCTGCACAGCTCTTTCACTCTCATATAGATATAAAGAAGTCGATTCTATTGTAAACAATCTCTTTGCTTCGCTTTGAATGAAATATCTTGCCGCATTACATTTTTTTATGCTAAATAATAGATTTTGCTATTGCTATTGTAACACTGACGTCTTAATATTAACAAGCACATGTTCAATACCCATACGAACTTTATAATGTATGCTGCTTTACTTTTTCACTGAGGAAACGTAAATAGATTTATTGTCCTGACATTAATGGCGAAATTGAGCACATGATGGTCGCACTTATTATGGGCGTCTATAGGTATATGTGAACGTCTATGAATACACCTTTTTGTATATACACGTATACGTACGAGCTCATACGTTTAAGAAACGAAAATGTTGAACGCGTAAATTAAATAAACAAAACAATAGCACAACGAGTGACTAAAAAGTTCAGTGGAAGTTTAATCAAATAAAGCGAGGATATAGTTTTGAGCAAATGAAAAATTATGAAGTTACAGTTATAAATGAATGCCACCAACCATATGATGAATGAACGCATGAGTGATTAAACACAATCATTCAAGTGTTGTTTTCTCTAACATGTTAGTTACGCTTAAAACAGCAACAAAGCAAAACTAAAACACGTACTGGATATTTTCGATTGCAGGGGCGAATCCTCCTCCGGTGCCAATTCATTATTGGCTTGACCATCTGCCAAACATCCGCCAACATCTGACGCAGTATAACGATTATCCAAACCATCACCTACCAAAACTAGATTGAATTTTGCAATGCCAATCATTGTAGAATCGTAATAACCAACAAACGAAAGCAAAACGAAAAAAAATGAACAATTGTTAATCGTATTAAATGAGAAAATACAAATTTTTAACTAAATATATCATGGGTATGTATTAAAAGTACGTTTATATTACTCCTGTTGTCCTTTATCCCGATTTTAAATTTGATTCATCAAATTTACCAATAACACGTATTTGAGTTTTAAACTAATGGACGATCTTAGAGAGGAGTTTAAAACGTGGTGACAAACAAAACTTAACTTAAGGTTGAATTTAAGTTATGAAAACTCCTTAAAACAAAAAATTAACTTTAGTCTACACTAAAAAAAATGTCGATTGCCGCAAGCTTAAAGTTGTTGTTAGCTTTCTCTTTGCAAAGTCAGAAGACATAGCGAAAACAGTGAGAAACGCAAAGACTGAGAGATACAGAGGGAGAGGGAGAGAAAGGAAGCGCTAGTCCAAAAATTCTCAATTTTAAGGCTAAGGAAAACTTATAAAACTTGACCGGCAATAAATCACCTGGAAGCTTCTCATTGGCAATATATATACGTATTTTTTGCCATTTATATAGAGGATGTATACGTCCTAAAGACGGTATGAAATAATGACATTAACCTTAAAATGATTAGTATACCGAACGAAACCATGGAATTACAAGTCCGCGAGTACCTAACTCAATTCAGAAAATCATTTTTCTGTCTTAAATTTTCTCGGAACTTTGCAATTTGCTAACATTGCATTTGATTTCATATAGTAGGAAAAAAAGTTTAAGAACAAAATTATTTATTGTTTCCCGTTTCTGTATCATGCAATACTGTCTCCCTAGTAATAATTGTTAATATGGTTTTTAATGTCAATAACGGAGAATTTTGTATTTAGGCTACCCAATAACACTTGAATTATTTGTTAATATAAATACATGTAGCAGTGTGCAACAGTTGCAATTTTTCCAACCTTAAAAAATCTGATTTAGCTGATACGATCAATTTTTTTTAGTTACAAAAACAATAAATATGGAGGAAGGAGTGTGTTTACATATCAAACTAAAAGAAACAATTCAGCGAAAAAATGATATTAATTTGTATGGAAAAACAAACAAAAAAAAAGAACTTACCATCTATATTTTTGGAAGGAAATAAACAAACGCCCATTAGGAACAGTAAAGTGCCCACTAGGAAAACCACTACCATGATAACTGTAAAAGCATCAAAACCTCCAATCGTCAATGGCTGTGGAGTAGGAGGTTCTGGCGGCGGCTTGGGGCATGAACTTTCACAATCGGCACATGAACAAGCCGGAGTCTTATCCTGTATGTAATTAAAAAATAGAATTAAGAGGATTGTAAAAATAAAACGAAATGAATATCATTCATAAACTTAAGAGATTTTGTTTTTCTTTTACATTTAATGGTTTGTAACAAGGAACTGTTTTAGGATCCAAAGGACGGTAACTGTTTTGCGAGGGCGTATTATTCTGATGTTGTATGTAATTAATTTGAAATGGCACGTATATGTTAGCACCGGCGTCACCCATATACGTAAACCATTTAGTAGCGCTGCAGCGTGCCGCCATATGACTGCCGCACACAATATCCATTGCTAATTGACCCGTTGAAGGTACAGAAACCTTTAGAAAATGAAATCAAACTTTTAAGAATTTGGAAAGTTCAAATTAAAAAAGGAGCATGCGCTACCCTAGTAAAAACACGCACAAACACACACCTGAGAACATGATTTGTAGGTACTATTGGTATAATTTGCTGTTATATGGACATCAATATTATTCACATAAAGTTGCCCTAAAAAATATCAAAAGAACGTAATCCATTCGACTTATTTATAAGTTTCATATGTAACATCAGAGCTCTTCAATTAGTTCCAATTTAATTTAATTCAAGACCAGAAAATACACATGTTTTGTAGCACTTACCTTTTTTAGAGATCTCTGTCGTCACCACATGCATAAATTCTGATTGCTTAGGAGAACATGTAAATTCGCATAAATGACGCGCCAAGTTTGCCATGCATGACGGGCAACGGTCTAAAAAATTCGCTGCCAATTTGATATTAGTATTCAAGATGTTTACCTGAATAGAGAAAACGTAGTTTTGAAAAGAGACGTACAATGGAAATGATTAGCATCACAGATAAAAAAATTTAGAATTCGAAAAAAGAATAATTTACGCAATGCTTAAAGACAGATAGGAAAAGTTTAAGATATGTACACAGGAAGGAATGGTAATAAATTAGGTAATATTTCCTTTCTGAGGTGCTTACATAGGGTTGTTTTTGAAAGTGAAACGATAGTGTCGTAAATTTAAATTGTCTTAAGTTGAAAGCAAATTGAACTAAGAGATAGAATCTTTGAACATTTCCCGGTGTTCCTATATCAACAATTAAATGAAGTTTTTTTTGGCTTGCAAAGAGATCCAATGGATCATAGACCCTTTTTATTATATATACTCGTCTCATATTAGTGACTTCATTTTAAGTTATGTCGTGACATTTGGTTTCGTTTCATTTGAAATACCCATTTTTCAAAATCTACTACGTAATCATGAAACTAAATTGTTGCTACTACATTGCGTGCAATCTAAACAAAAGTTTTTATTAAAGTTCCCATTCGTTAAGAGTCAATTTTAGAATGTTATAATTGTCCTAGCAAGCCAACAACTCAGAAAATGGGAAAAATTCGAATCGATATATATGCAAGCTTTATAACATTTCTATGCCATTAACATAACCAAGCAAAGATAATGAATAAAGCGTTGATGGCGGATTAACCGTGTCGATTTTCTGTCCTACTCTGGGAAAAATCGAATATGTTCGCCGTATGTTCTTTACAGCAAGGTAAGCTAATACGCAGCGCAGCGAGGGAAAAAGTTAGCTCATTCTTGATAGAAGTTCTTTCACAATTCCTGGAATTAAGTTAAGACCGCCAATTGTAAAACTATTGTAAAACAAAAAAAATAGATTTTGATGGAAATTTTTCTATTTCCCCCGAAGAGATTCGTAGGTTAAATGACAAGAGAGTGCGTCTGCTACGACGCTGACGGAGAAGTTTCGAAATAAAGACAGACTAGCGTATTGACCTGTCAAATAGGTGATTGACTAAAGTAATTTTGAACAAGTAAGAAAGTTATATTCGGCGGAGGCCGAATCTTGCATACCCATAATCATACATTTTGCATTCTACTCTCCAAGTTCCTTCATTTGATACCCATATCGCTGGTATTATTAAGAAAAAGTTTATTGTGGTGTCTACCATACCCATTATTAACCCATTTTTAGGCAGATAATATATCTTCGTTTGAGAAATGTACAAAATAGTTTTAGACATTCTGTCTTCTTTGCCTTACGATAAATAAGCATAAAAAAAAATGGTTTAATTACCAGCAACTTCGTGTGGGCATGACCGATTGTTTCCATTTGTGCACGTAAAGTGTGGAGTTTTTCGCAAAGCAAATGTGGGGACTTTTAGCCTTTTAAATTTAACAATTTCCGAGTAAGGAGCAAAAATCTAAAAATTTTTGTTAAGTAAACGGAGTTGCGTTCAGTTTACGCTCAACTGCGCGCTTCTGTTTGGACCAATTTGGCCCATTTTCAATACCACCTGCGTGCAGAAACTTGTTTCTATCAATTTTGATGTCGATATCTTCATTTTTGCGACCAGTAAAATGCCAACAACTTACACCACATTGACACACAAACACACCGGCGGACAGATGGGCAGACATGGGTAAATCATATCAGAATTTCACGCTAATCAATAATATTTATATATTTTGTAGGGTTTCTGAAGCTTCCGTTTTGGGTGTTACATACATTACGGGAAAAAACGAAATGAGTATAGCCCTCATCCTTCCGTGATGGATTTAACAAGGAAAACTGTTAAATTTTATATTAAAAGAATTCGAGAAAGCACACCGTTTAATTTCACTTGTCGTTTAATGTACACTAAGCAAATATTTCGGAAATGAGCATATACTTCTCAGAGATTCCACGTACTACAATACTGCATTGTCTGATTTCAAAAGCTTTAGATAAAAAAAAAGGATGTGGCGTTTGGTTCTCGTCAAGTGAAAACGAAAAATTTGTGTGTTCATCCAATAGTCTCAAAGAAAAAGTCTTAGAACCTAACACTACTTTTGTAATAATTTTTCTATTTTATACCAGAGATGTTTGCGGTCTTTACGTTGCTGCATTTATTATAGATTTTTACGTGTTCAAAAACGATAATAAAAACTGTGAACAGAAACAGGAAAAAACAAGTGAATTATATTCTGGCACGCTGCGTCTTTTGTATGCCTCGCTATCTTTGTATTAAGAAAACATAAACAAAGATGAAAATTAAATATCATAAGTCTATAACATTTGGTGGATTTTTTCCATCTTTTGTACAGGTGTTTTGATCAACCGTACAATATCGTACGTTGTAATTGCTATAGTTTACGACTAATGAGAAAAATTCATTTATTTCGCTTTTAAAACCAGAGATGGTCCCGCGGTACGGTAAGTAGGTGTATTTAATTTGAATCGACTTGGCATTTTTTCACAATATCTTTATTTCGGCAAGACGAATGACATTTACCAAACAGACAAGGAAGTAGAGAGAGAGACCAAGTTTATATACACATACACACAGTGGTTGTATGTTTCCAAAGGATTGATAAAATAAATGTGCTTCCATTTTCGCTAGTGAGATTAAAAAAATTAAAAACAATCAAATATTTACTATTGTTGTCAAAATCAAATATTTACTATTTTACTTGTGGCCACATTCAAATATGGCCCACTCGAAATTCAGAATACTGAAAAAAGAAAAAATATTGGGTCATGGTCACAGCAATTTTGGAACCATCCTAACTACCAAATACGTTGCCTTGTAATGCTTGGAACCAGTAACGCGTTTATTATGTTGTGTACTTTTATTTATATTGCATTTTACGTGTGCGCTATCGTTATACTCTTGTAATGCTTTCCTTAATTGAGAAATGTTGGCAAACCTATCATGTGCGAATAAGTGTTTTTGTCCACCTATAATAAAATTTTGTAGGAAAATTGGTTTTGGGGTTCACTTAAATGTTTGCGCTTGGACCACACTTTTTAGTTTGCTAAAGCCTTTATCGTGAATGTAGTGGTTTAGTGGAATTTATGCGATCTTCATCTATATGGGTTTATCTTACCGGTGCGTGCGATTTTTTTTTCTTTTGGTTGATCGAGTGGATACCAACCAATTATTTCTTACACTCTGTGATAAGATGGACCACGCTGAGTAGGCTATCATCTCCAAGGACGAACAAGCGGTGTTGCTCAGAAATCCGTCTTTCCCTACAGTTGCTTCGACTGCGCGAATGCTCATAATGTACTACCTCCTCTAATACAACAGACAGTGGACCAAATTACTTTCAATTTTGAAAATAAATTTCGGTAATTCGCGAACCTATAGATTAGCAAATCTAACAAGTTGAAAATAAGCTCGAAACAAAAATTTACTTGCGTTTTGATGAGGAGCCGATTGCTTTCAAGACGTCGAAAGTAAATTGGTCACGCGATACCAACCACTGGAAAAAGCGCATAATGGAATCAGTCGGGTATTATTATTTTAAGTTTGCTGGCTCAACCGCATAGAAAAGAGACCAGATTAAAAAAATCGCGGCCTACTTTAATGTAAACCTGCCCCAAACGGACATTAATCTTTGCAATTCTGTATTACAAACTCAACTTTGACATATACTTTGACAGTACGTCGTTACGGAACTTATATAATCCAAAACCTACACTTGCTGGTTTATGCTAAATATGCAATTACGCACGCCTTTCTTAAGTAGCATATTTATTATTATATTGAAGTTGTTCTCCACGACCCATCTAATAATTTGGCTTAAACTGATTATCAACTATATCACATGTTTTATCTGTTATGTGGAATTCAGAGACTCCAATACCACACCACCACATCAAATTAAAATTTAAGTTCTTAGTCTATTTGTACAAAACCGTTCTCTCACAACCGTCGGATTGCTTAATCAAACGACTGCTGCTTTCTAGGTCAAATGGGAAACCTGTTATATAGATTCCGCGTACATCGCACTCTTTGATTGAACGGTCATTTATTGTACGTTCAGCTCGATATTGAAATGCGTTGCCGCTGACCCTAAGATTGTTTGCTGCTTCCTTCCATATATTAAAGAGAAAATTTACATCATTCCTGAAGATCTGAATTCGTTCAATACTAGTAGTAAGTTTGCGACAGAGTAAGGTGATTATTTGATCAATCTTTAGTTGTTTCTGTGCACAAAACTTATACTAATGTAACTAAGTATATTGGCCAAAGGTTTCATAGTTGCGAATTTAAATAAAAAAATAAAAAAAAGTTTGATTACATTTATTGAAAGTCAACAAACTATAAATGAGAAAAATAAGAATGTTTAAAAAATCAATTTGGATCCAAAGTAATTATTTTATTGAATCTTCTATTTGTATTGAATCTTTTTTCCGTACTACTTATGAGATTCGTAGCAAAAAAACATAGCATGCATCTTTTAATATCTCAATTATACTCCTGCGATATTAACCGATTTATTTTATACCTGTTCGCTATCACAGCAGAAGTCGGTGGCACCATCTTCCAGCATAAAACCACAACGCTCTTGCAACAGTTTTATACCGTCTGGTGAGATAGGTTTTGCTGTACTATTGTAGGCGCAATACTGTTTTCGTTGAAAGTCATCTGTATTGCAGACACCGTACCAAACACAGTTCTGCAAAAAATAAACAAAAGGGGGAATTAGATAAGTGCAATAATAAATATTAATAGATCGGTCAATAATTCTCTGGATCGACCCGTATTAATTGTCTGCAAAAAATACCGTATTACCCCTAGGAAGCGCGCACTCGCAACTAATGTCTATTGAAATAAGGCATAAGTGCATTTATCATTTTGCATGGGTAACGCGCTTCCTTTCAGCACCACAAATAGGCCTAAATATTATTGATCCGGAGTGCTTGCAAAATTGCTTGCGTTGAAATTCGAAATTCTGTTTGCAAATTCCAAAAGCATATCGGTTATAAAAAGATTTGGATCAAACGATGATGTCATTACCGAAACTGAAGAGCTTTTTGTGGGTTTTGACATAACGTGCTTTTTGAACAAACTCCAATATAAAAAAAAAAAAAAAATCATGTTTAGTTAGTTTCTGGACTTATTGACTGAAATATTATATAAATATTTTTAGTTTACTTGAAAAGCACTGACACGGAATAATTGAAGAAAGGATTAAGATAAATCCCTAAAAGACTTAACTCAGTTACATTGAACCGTATAACATTTTTCTTAGTTTAAATCATGACTAAATGCAAATAAAGGCATAAATTAAAATAGAATAAAAGCTTGAATTCAATTTTTATTATTCGTCATTTACATATATATTTTACATCCCAAGACAACGCTAGCAATTTGATATGAATGTATTGTCTGCGCGTATTTCGTTTTCCATGCCATTTCTTTTTAAAAATCGCTACCATCAGAAAATGCAGTTACTTTAAATTTTTCATTCTGTTTGTAAAAATTAAATATAATCACGTCAGATACCCCTGTAGTGTTTATTCTAGAAATCTATTGTATACTGACACACTGCACCAAACGAATACTTCTCTATTGCCTTTTCGATTACGATGTAAATATATTATTGACTAAAAATTCTTGGTGAAAACAAATACGCATTCAGCTGTTTTTTTTTAGTGAAGGTGACGACGTAGCGGCGCATAGCCATAGTCGGGCGTAGCAATTTTAGTACGTAGCCTTAAAGTCTACAATGGCACTAGAATCGCATTATATCTACGGTAGTGGTAACCGTCTGTCTAGACTGAGTTCCGGTCACTTCAAGTGGAGTTACGTAAAATAAAGCAATTGCATTGAAGCTGACATATGTTCAGTTTAATAAGCAAAGCGCAATCGCTAATAGCGTTGGGCAACTGTAATAGTACGTAGTAATAGTATCAAATAAGAGGAATTGTACATACGAGAAGCAGTACGTAGCAGTAGTAGGACTTTCCGATAAGGCAACAAGGGCGTGAGAATTTAGTTCGCACATGCTTTAAAACTGCTGCTTTAAAACGTTAATGATCTATTTCTTCGATAGTGATGACTGAGTTGGTCAAAATCATATCACGCTGTATAAACAGTATCAGCTGTAGAAATTTACTTTTTTTATCACAGCACAAGATATTTTACAAAATATTGCCTTACAAAATGGAGAATCGCAATTCGCAAGCCCATACGCATAGACAAAATTCACTGAAACGTCATATGGAATCTATTTTCACAACCTGTTAGTCTTGAAGCTGATGAATGTTCAACGGTTTGTACGATTCTAAAGCCATAAGTAGCTGTGATTTGTTAGAGTGAGTGGGTGACTTTGCCAGTGACTGCAGTTCGTAATAATAGTCATAGTTGCACTAAGTATCTTAGCAGTCAAAACTGTAGGAATTTACCTTAAGAGTGATAATAATAACAACAATATGAGAAGATTTTTTGCACACGACTTATGCATGTACCCGAAAACATGAAAAATATTTATACGCTCGTCTGCATGCCTCAAAGTTATCTTATGCGTATCAACATAAACTCTGGTATCGTTAAATGAAGTTTGCCTTAATTAAATTAAATTCGATCAATTATTTAATTGAATTATTCGGTTATAAAAAACCAAAAATATATACAATCATCACAAATTGCAACTGTTTTTACAATTTCCATAACGAAGTGTCATCAATTCGCATGAGAGAATAGCAAGAAGCTTCAAAGTGCACAATTCAAGTGTCAATACTCAAATGAGCAAATTGAAAAGAAATAAGAAAGTAGTGTGCGCAACAAAGAATGGTATTTGAGAAGTATCCATAATTCATTGAAAGCTGAACTTTTGTTCATTTGGGAAAGAGAAAGCGAAAGCACAAAATCTTCATGGTTAGAAGCAATTAGCGTCAATTTAAAGTAAATACATGCATCTTTTTATATTGTACTGGTTCGATGCAACATAAAATTTGTAGTCATTATCACCATCATCACTTGTGGAAGAAACTAATAGGCTAAGTTTGTTATTATAGTTGTCAAATTTAGAAAACTATATTCTAAATTAAGTAATAAGCTTTTGAACAGCACATGAGCTTAAATCGATTTATATAGATGTTACAAAGGTTACAAAACTTATAGATCGAACAACCGCACGAAAGCATACCAAACAAATTGAACACAGACGGCAAAGATAAATCCGAAAATTTCAGTATATTCTGACCAATAATTTTCATTCGCAGCATAATTACACATGAAATTTAATTCAAACATTTATAAGGATTGGTTGTAAATTTAAATTTAAGAAGTATCGTATGTCAGGTCTAGAATTAATTCCATAAGGAATTAAGAAATTTGCAGGTTACATTTTCTATTAGAAAAACGGTGACCTCTGCATGTAAAGATACCCTTACGCAAGTTGTATATTATCTTGCTGACGAAGGTGCAAGCTCGCTTCTAAATATAATCTCAGATGAGGAAAGATAAGTATAAGAGATATATATAAAAAGTAACTTTCTTTAAGCGTAAAGAATCCTTCGGGCAGAATAATTTCGAATTCAAATTAGCCATCAAAGCGAGATTTAAAAAAACAGTGTTTGAATCAACCTAACGTTGTATGCACTTAAATATTCATATAATAATTCAGTTTTCTGCAGGTTTCAATTAGAAATTTTTCATCTTTGGTTTAAATATATTTTCCACATCTTTGCTCTGTAAGGGATGTTTAAAAAATTTACTGAAATCTGATTTCACTCTATGATCGTTCTATTAAACAGTGATATAGGAGGTATTGAATTAAATCTAACAATAACTATTTGAGATCTTTGTGATCTTTAATCTCAGTTGCGTATTTATGAACACCCGTTAATTTAGAATTTAGAACGTCTTATTCCAGATATTATTAATTGCATATTTTCAAAAGCCGAAAGCTAACTTCCGGAGGGCGAGTTCCTGATCAACCCTGGTGAAAACACTGAAGATACTTTTAGAGTAAAGACGGATCGGGCAGCTGAAAGCACAATTGCATTTGAGGTATTAAAAACCCAATTGACATTCAACCCGTGCCGCTTTCTCAATTGTCCGATTTTCGCTTTCGATCTGGGAAAATAATTAACAAGCCTTTATTGCGATTATCACTTTCCTGTACCGATTTTTGTGATTTCAGGAACACGGAACAAAACCTAATCTAAAACTCATCAAGAATGTATGTACTTTCGCTTTTCATCGTTCAAACAATATTCTTTTTTTTAAGTGATGCGTATAAGCAAAAAGAGAGGATAGATATATCGTGTGTGGGTAATAACACAAACAAAAAAAGCAAACAAAAGAGGTATGAAGAGAGAGGAACATATTTTATTATTTATAATCTCAAAATAAGAAGAAAACGGACTTTTAAGTAGTTATAAGCATTCCAAATAAAGACTATCATCTGGAGTTGGCAAACAAAAAGTTCAATTAAAATTGAAATTTATCCACTTTTGACATAGGAGCCATCATTACCCAATACAATCTGATCGAGTCAATACATCTTTCGCGGAATGATTGAAATGTAATCTTCAGATCGATCCTCTTCTTTCATACAGTTGTTGCAGTTGTATCAAAATGCCATACTCATTATCGTAATCTCGACTTCGGAGACAAAAATAGGCTAAACGGATCTATACCATGCCAACGTGTGCATAAGTGGTTGGCTAAAAGCTCTTATATACTGATGGACAGAAATAAAGCTTTTGCTTATCAGTCATACAGCAAACATGCTTAAACCAATAAAATCACTTTGTTTTGTCGTTTGTGTTTTTAATTGCAGCTGTTGAAGATAGATTCGAACGAGGCGTATTAACGCTTTCTGGGTTTCACTGAATCTTTTAAGCCATGTGTACATCCAGAATTTTCGGCACATTCGATTCGCTGTGGATTTTTCGAGACATTTTCAGCGACTTGATACATGAACATTTGTTTGACTGACATAACTTAAGTAAACTCTACGTTCAATTAATCAATTCAAGACGCAACTGCACTCAATAAGTCATAGGTTGTACTAAAATTTCACTTGTAACTTAATGCAGTGTGGCCAGCGTTCAACTATTTAAAAGAAATTTCAGTCTATTTAAATCCTTTTCAAGCTATTTTATAAATAGAAAAAATGTGAAACATGTAACGCCAAAAACAGTTTATTTTTAAATATCGAACTAATATTGTAAATTGTATGAAAAATATCGAATCATTTAGAGTTTCCACTCACATCGAGGTTATAATTGCAAAGTTAAATAGATCAAGTTTGTTGTTGTACTTTCCTGTTTCACGCAATGTTTTTCGTGTGATGTTTTCATTAACGTATAGATAATTAATATATGGCACAACTAAGATAATTATAATTCGCAATTATATTTCTCATGACGTGATTGATTGCTCACAGTGGTCATGGAAATCAAAGGGTGTGAAGTTATATTTAAATTTAACTAGCAGAGATACAAACTAAAAAATGTTAACAGAGCTCTGTTAAATCGAGTCTCGGACAGATTTGAAGCAAAATTTAATTAAAGTGACACTTTTTCAGGTTTTTTTTTTTAGATATTATAAAGAATTAAAACTTAGTATAAAAAGATCTTTTTACTATGTCAAATACAAGGCTGAAAAAGTGAAAGTTTACTTAACCACTGTGATCAAACCAAGTGATGTGGCCAAAGTTAT